ATATATATGTATGTATGTATATATATATATATATATGTATAGTATATTAATTATTGATTAGATATACGTATATTTATTCCCTGTGGCTCGTGCTATGTATGCGTTTTGTAAATTACTTTCGTTCTATTGTCAACTTAGTATATATGTACATTCACCCACGTAGATCGACCCTATTATATGGCTGGGAGCCAAACGTCAGCTTCAGCCTGATGATATGTGGGCAGTGGACAAATCCTTAGAGGCGGAAATGTTGTTTCAGAAGTTTAAAGTGAGATGGGATGTGGAAGTTGAGTCCTGGAGAGCCAAAGTAAACGATCCTAATTTGTCGGAGAAGGAGAAGCCCATCAGGCCGTCATTGTACAGGGTATGTGTACGTGGTCCTATTAAGGATTAAACCCTTGCACGCCGATAATGGGTTTACATGTGTTCGCTTGGTTAGCTCGATTCGACTTTTCATTTTATGGATACGGACTGCCATGTGATTGTATTGTATGGCGATCGTTTGTTTTTGTGTGTGTTTCTCGAGCGGTCAGATATGCTTCTTCCCTTTTCGATGAAGTCGAGTTATGGCTAACTATGTGTATATATGCATGTGTGTGTGATTCCCTAAGGAGTAGTAGAAGTTTCGAGAATGATAGCATTCTCGCATCATCACATAAATCAGATAGTACAGTAGTCACACTCGTCGGTGACCACGGTGTCGTTTAGCTTCTCTGCATCAATATAGATGAGAATGCTTCTTCTTGCTTCTCTGCATCAAAATAGATGACAATCCTTCGTCCTGCTTCTGTTTCTCATCCTTTATGGCGTCTTGTCTCAGGTATTCGTATCGCTCTTCAAGGTCGATTTGATTGTCATGGCGTTACTTCAGCTGACTTTTGCCGCCTGTTCGATTGGTGGCCCCATGGTACTCCGCGAAATCGTGAACTTCTTAACCGATCCAACCATTAGTATGCAAACCGGTTACATATATGCCGCGTTGTATGGTCTGTTGCCCTTATTAGGTACATTGGCACAGGGGCATGCTTTTCTGCGAGGGTTCCGACTGGGTATGAAGGTCAGGGCTCTGATGACGCTGTCTGTGTTCCGGAAAAGTCTGCGACTCAACTCATCCATTCGCCAGGTACGACTTGTCTTTCTTCCGGTTGCTACGTTTGTGTGGATTAATACGTTTTATTTGAACCATTTGAGTGATCGAGTTGGCCGGTGTCTATGATAAAAGTGTGTATTTACGGGATATTCTGCATGCACTCCAGTGGAAAGTAGGGTACAGTATGTTTGTTGTTATTTGTCATGCCCACTTCGTGGTGTTCCTATACCCTACACAGGACCCGACCATGAGCCAGGGGCGTATCACTAATTTGATGAGTATAGACGCACAGAGTTTCATAGAATCGATTCCCATGATACACAATCTCTGGGTCTCGCCGCTCATAATCTTCGTCATCATTGGGTTATTGTACGACATTCTCGGTAAGTGAAAAGGAACTTGCTGCACGCGCTTTCGTCGCCATTCTTCATCGCATAACATATCCGATGATGTTCTGAATGGTGGCTGCCAGTTATATAAGGTTACTTACTATAGAGTCAGTTACCATGGCATGGGGAGGCTTGTATACGAACACATTTCGCTGCGTATACCCTATGTAGTATAGTATACCATGTACTAGGTTTATGTAGCAATGTTTACCTGATTCGCTCGACAAGCCTTACTTCTATCCGTGTCGACCAAGCTTTTTTATCAAGGGCAATTCATGTACATGACACTCCCTGCCGCTCAAATCTTCATATACTCATATCCGCACACTCCGGAACAGGCCCCAGTTGTTTCGCGGGGGTGGTTGTAATGGTTCTGCTGTTCCCGATTTGCGGCTCCTTGGCTAAGATGATGATGACATGCACTCAGATACTCAAGCGCCACACAGACGTGCGCGTGGGCATCCTGACTGAGATTCTTCAAGGCATTCGAGGTGGGTCGAGGCTGTTTGTGGGGTGAGTGTACAAGGATAACCCCTGTGCATCGCTTATATGCAGCTATCTTGACAATGATTGGTTGGCACCCACGGTTGTTACTAGAGGTTGATCATAACAAGCGTAACAAGCGTACCTTAGCCTTGGCAGCAAGGATTTAGCTGTTACTTTGACGATTTTATTTATTAATAGAACCGCGTATCGTTCATGCGTAACTCTGGAACGTAAACTCGTACACCATGGTGTTTACTTTGTATTTGTGAGCCTGCGTCAGGCGTAATTAGAATTCTATGTTCTTTGTACCCATTGTATGTTAGTCTTCTTCTTGGCCGAAAAATCAAATTACTACTTGCGCTCTGATGAAACGACGTGTTGCTCAACCCTCTCCACCTGAGCGATTTGCAGTTCAGCCCCACAGCCAATACTCACCGACGAGTCATTCTTGTTTATTAACCTGTTCTATTCTTTCTGCCCGCACCTCCACGCGCTCGGTTTACCTACAACCCAGTCATAAAGCTCAATGCCTGGGAAGATAGTTTCATCGAGAAGGTTGGCCAGGTACGGGAGGATGAGATGAACGTCACGAAGAGCCTGGCCATCTACAAGGCTATCAACACCTTCTTCCTGCTCTCGCTACCCGTGTTTGTATCCATCACCACATTCACTGTGTACACAGCCACGGGCAATATCGTGCAGGCGAACGTGGTGTTCCCGGCCATTGCTCTGTTTGCAACACTGAGGTATGCACCGATTTGGACTCGCACAGCCTATGAGTATTTATATAGTGACGTGGTACCCACCTAACAAACTATTTGCGTATGACTCACACAGCCTCCGAGTACTTATATAGTGACATGGCAACCAACCACCAAACTACCTGACTATGTTGTAAACTTATCGTGATAAATTATGTTAATACGGTTTCAACAGACAATGTTTGCCCGCAGTGACTTGCATATGAATCGTTGCAGTGTATGGAGCTGTGTCAGGTTGCTCATACCCGATTGCTGTCGTTGTAGAGTTATGCTGTCAGTCTGGTGTAGTTCATACGTTGCTGGCGGTTAGTTGCTCCGTTATGCATTTATGTTTTATTGCCTCACAAATCCCTTCGCTGCCCGCGGTATGAGGATGCGAACTTACCCTTCATGTATCTAGGCTTGTATCCGATAGACTCTTGACGGCCTATAGTCATCTCGTGCTCTGTTTCCGTTGCTTGTATCACTGGTACTGAGTGGGCCGTCCGTGGACCTGTTTTCATGCACCTCGCTGCCTTCTCATCTCAGCCCTGCCCTGTTGTACTGTGGCCAACGAAACCACACTGCAGATTCCCCCTGGCGTTCTTACCGATGATCATCGCTGGGGTTGCCAAGATGAACGTAGCACGCACGCGTATAACGAAGTTTTTAATCGCCGATGAAATCGAGGACGAGTTGGCGAATGACCGCAACAGACCGGACGGAGCCATGGTAGGTATCAACAATGGGACCTTTTATTGGGTGAGCGAGATGGAGGAGAGCAAGGACCTGGAGGTCCAGGAGTCCGGAAAGGAGAAGAAAAGGGGCAGGGGCAAGGGCAAGCGTAAAAGGGTCAGCAAAGCCGATGAAGGCGGCATGGAATCGAGGGTATGTGTCTGTTGATTGGCATGGATTCGACTGCGTCCGGGGTTGTGGTGGGTGATGTTCCGGGATTTGTCAGGATATTGCAGACGTTCTCATGCATACAAAATTTGGATACTTTGTGATGGGGAGAGTATATTTCTCTAGTTGCTTGTACTAAATCTTGGCCGTTTATGGGGCAGACGGGTATGTATGTTTGTTAGTTGCCTCAGGGAGAAATATACCAAATGCCACACACTCTTTCAGACATACACAATGCGTTCGGGGGATCTGTGTGCTGTAGTTGCAGGATCTATGACTAAATTTGGCAGATTCACACACAGTAGTCAGTGAAGATTCTTCGCTCGTGTATTGGGATGGCACCAACCTTCACTTCCCCAGGAGACTATGCGGATATTGACTGTACGGATATGCATCTTCGTGGCTCGATACAAACGGCTCACATTTAAGCGTTATTCAAATATCAACGAAACAACCCAACTTTAAGTTTTTGACCACTCTTGCTTGCCCATACAACAGGATCGCATCATGCCTGTGGCGGATGGCAGCAAGCAGCGCATAGAGAGCTCCGACTTTGGCAAAGTCGACATAGACAGTGTGGAGGATATTCAGGTGTGTACCGAACTTTTGCCTATGCTATCGATCGGTGTTGGCTATCTCCCATTGTATACGTACGGCTGTGTGTTTGCGACCCATCAGGTCACACATTGGGCGGTTTTGTGTCTATTCTTTTGTCCGGGCTTTATTAAGGTTATTCTCCGCACTCGCGAATGTCTCTTCGTCTGAGTTTGTTGTATTGTTCGGTAGTGCCACTACCGGTGTGGCCTGTGACCAAACTGCCGTCCCGTTGAGAGCTCTCATATACAATCACTTCAATTAAACCC